CTTTAAAAAAAATTAGAAGTATTATATATTAAATCCCATCCATTTGCTTGCTATTCTTTTTCTCTTTATTAGAAAATTATGTCCAAGCTGTGGAGGAGTTCCAGGCTTGCCTTAACCTGCAAGAACAGTACCTGGAAGCCCATGATCGTCTTCTTGCAGAGACCCACTACCAGCTGGGCTTGGCCTATGGATACAACTCTCAGTATGATGAGGCAGTGGCACAGTTCAGCAAATCTATTGAAGTCATTGAGAAGAGAATGGGTGAGTGATCATCAACCCTTTGTTGATAAGCTTGACTGGATCCAGTAATCGACAAGATAAAAATAAAAATGGATCCTTTGGTGGTAACTCTTACTGATCACTTCAGCCTGTTTTTGTAGCTGTACTGAGTGAGCAGATGAAGGAGGCTGAAGGATCATCTACTGAATATGAGAAAGAAATTGAAGAGCTGAAGGAACTGCTTCCTGAAATTAGAGAGAAGATAGAAGATGCAAAGGAGTCCCAGCGTAGTGGGAATGTAGCTGAATTAGCTCTGAAAGCAACTCTGGTTGGTTTGGTTTCCTTTTAAAGTTTTGATAATAGAATGTTTGATATTGTTGGAAGGCTCATGGCATTAATGTTCCATTTGCCTAGGAACCATGACATGGTTTCTAGGGAGTTGGTAGTTAGAATGTGAGCATTTATCTAATTATTCTTATCAAATGGTATAATGCTTAAGAAATATACTTTGGAGTCAGACTGGGTTATATATCTGTATGTGACCATGAGCATGCTACTTTAGTGTTTGCTTAATAAATGTAAGCTATTACTTCCATCTTTGAGAACTCCTCTGTATAGATTAGTAAGGTATTGATGGCTTTTAGCTATGGCTCTGCTTTTGACTGCTGGAATATCAAGGAGCTTTCTATGCCACAGGTGATGACATGATATGGAGGAGTTAATTTAACATCTACACTGTGCCTAAATCCCCAGTTTGGGGGTAGCAGGTGCAGGTAAAGTGGGGATGGATGAAATTGCTATTATATGTAGGCCCAGTAGTATTGAGGTCTTAATCAGTTATTTGATAACTGGTAGATACCTGTGGTAGGTGTGTGGGTGATCCTGGTACGTTCTTTTCTGGGGCCCACTTGGGTCTGTCCCCTCTCACACAGGTGGAGAGCTCTACTTCAGGTTTCACTCCTAGTGGAGGCAGCACTTCAGTCTCCATGGTGAGTATTCAGGTTATTTTTGTCACTTAATATTAGGCCTGTTTGTGTCCTGTGTAGTTGTACATTGTTAATAAAGTCCTTTTTGTCAGGTTGCCAGTAGAAAACCAACAGATGGTGCTTCCTCATCAAATTGTGTGACTGATATTTCCCACCTTGTCAGAAAGAAGGTAAAATCTACATGTGGTCATTTCCCTTCTATTTTCTTTCCGTTTGCTTTTGTTTTTGTTTTGTTTTGTTTTGTTTTGCTTCACATGGTACATGAGGAATCATTTCCTAGTATTTGGTGTGATAAGGCATTCGTTTTGTGAAGTTGGTGAGTATTTGAGTGAAGGTTGTTTTCACTTGAATATGTGTTCTGACAATTTTCCAGGCCTCTTGGCCCAGGACTATCAGGGAAAGCTGTTGAGAATTGCTCACATTGGCTCTTCTTTTTCTTTGATAGTCATTGAGCTGCAGACCTGCTGATAGTTAAACTTCTGAGTCTGCCTTCTCCTGCTGGTTACAGTTTTTTTCTCTTGTGGGAGACTGATTCCTTTGTTTCTGGATTCACAAACTTGGGGTTGGCTTACTGTTCAGATCTATTCCTCACACTCCCACCCTTCCCAGTAGAGAGGCTGGATTGGTATGTTGTGGTTTCTAATTTATTGTACGAGCAGAGGTTGGCATCTGCTTCCTGTGGCCATGAGAGAGGCCCTGAGAGCCATGGATCCCACTTTTGAGGATATCTGCACCATGGGGTGGCAGCAATGGGGGAGGAGAGGTGTGAAGGGGTTGTTAAAGTTTTGCAGTTCTTGTAAAAAACATTCAGCACATTTGTGAAGCCTTCACAATTATATCTTTAGAGGAAACCAGAGGAAGAGAGTCCCCGGAAAGATGATGCAAAGAAGGCCAAACAAGAGCTGGAGGTCAATGGAGGCAGTGGGGATGCCGTCTCCAGTGGAAATGAAGTTTCAGAAAACATGGAGGAGGAGGTGGGCAGTTAAAGAGGGCTTGGACTCTTCTTGCCTTATTTCCCCTTGTTCTCAGGCCCTGGGGAAGCTAGTCCTCCTAAGTGCATGTTCCTCACCTTGAGACTGTTTGTATTACTTGAATGCAACCCTTATAGGAACAATGCAGGGAACTCTTTGGTTATAGAATGTAGGATGTCTCTCTCATTGATGAATGGAAACTATATACATATCATAGGTCCCACTCTAATGAATGTATGAGAAGGCACTTGATTGGCAAGACCATTGGGTTCCCTTTCCAAGTAATGTATGAACATTGGCTCTGTCAGCCCTACTATAGATAATTTAGGATATGGCCTTACATTTTGTGGTAATTGTCCTGTTAGTAGTGTAGGGAGCCTAGCAGGGTTTAGGAGACCTGTTCACTTGCTCTAAGGCCTGCTTGATTGTATAAGACAATAGCTTAAACTAGGGTCATTTATGCCCAGGCTCCCTATTTATCTTCCAGGCTGAGAATCAGGCTGAAAGCCGGTCAGCAGTGGAGGGGACAGTGGAGGCCGGAGCTACAGTTGAGAGCACTGCATGTTAAGAGAGGGCACAGAGCCTTCCTCCTGAGGGAAAGTCTTTTTGTATATAATGTATTTTTTCACTTTGGGGGGATTCTTTTTGTATAACTTCAATAAAGATTGTAAGCAAAGGTTGAGGCTTTGATGATTTTTTTTTTTCTTAAATACTGGCTGAAACTGCCTTGGAGCACTCTGGGTTTATAGAGTGGTCAAAGGTGTTCCCCCCTCCCCCTTTCTGTACTGATCTGTTGGAAATTCTCATCCAAGTTCCTGTCTAATGTGGAGGTGATCAAATCAAGCATAGCCATAGGCCCTTTGTTTTCCAATGGTGCTATATATTTTTCCCATTTTAAATACCGGACTGCTGTCTTGCAAACCCCTTCATTTTGGTGCTTTCCTTTGATGGGGGCTATAGAAGCAAGACTTGGTTAAGATCTTTGCTCTTTGGTGCTGATACTGTTTGATGGACTTTGTGAGCTGGTAACCTACCTGCCTGAGCCAGGCCCTAAAGTGATAATTTTTATGCACCTAATCTCCAACTGGGGTTCAATAATTCTGTCCTGGTTTAAAAAGAACTCTGAAGAAAACTTGTGAGGGAGGGGTGGGGGAAGGTGACCCCTGAAAAAAACCGGTGTGCTGTGTAGAATTGAGCTTTCTGGTTTGAAAGTGGCTAAGAGACTGGATGCTTTGGATGTAGTTGGAACAATTTGTGGGGAGGCTGGCTGGTGAAGTTTTGTTTTTTGTACAGAAAGGCTGAAATATATCTTATTACTTGAATCCAAATTGTTACCCATCTGCAGTTTTGACTTCTCAAATAAAGACGCTAAAAAATGTTGCTGGTCTGGACTTGTGTTTAAAGATTTTCCAGTGGGATCCTGTGCTGTCTCAAGCATTTGAATGTGGGATGTGGGGTTGAAAGAAACTGGGCCACCAGTTTTGGCTGCCCAGTCTAAGAGTGCTGGTGCTCGGGATTCTGATAATATTTTTTGAAGATTTTATTTATTTATGAGAGACAGAGGCAGAGGGAGAAGCAGGCCCCATGCGGGGAGCCTGACCTGGGACTCGATCCCAGGTCTCTAGGATCACGCCCTGGGCGGAAGGTGGCGCTAAACTGCTGAGCCACCTGGGCTGCTCAGGATTCTGATATTAAAGCCATCCCCTTGAGACCTCATTCCTGTTCAGGGTGCAAGGCTAGTGGGAGACCCCTCCTGCCTGAACTGCTTCTGCCCCTGTGACCCTTAGTTTAAGAACCCGTTACGCCAAGAAAAAAAAAAAACAAAAAAACCCTTTACGCACCAGTTACTATTGGGATCGGGCCTGCCCTTACCTAATGGGATATAGTAATTCTGACCACCCACAGGGCTACTTTGGTGCACTGGACAGTATTTCAGAAACTGCTATTTGAATGTCCAATGTCCGAGGCAGTTTTTCAGTCTATATTTTGTTTTCTAAAGAAATATAAGGGAAATGGTTGGAATTTTTCTGGGCTGGTCATGGTAACTCATGGCTCCAGAATTTTTGGCTTTGGACTTCCCGAAGATACCCCTGTATTGCATGTTCTTCCAAGTCCTGAAGATTTTAGGCCTTTGACCTTTGGTTGACACTGGGTTCTGGGGCTAGGCCGGATATCAAATTTCAGCCAGATTTTACATGTGACCCTCTGTAAGTGTGTAAGGTATGGGAGCGCCTAGTTTATGGGGGACCTTTATAGCCCCGAAGGCTTCCCAGGGGATGTCCTGAATGAAGAAGTGTGGCAACAAGATGGGCTTTAGCAAAACAGCAACAACAAAAAAATAGGTGAGAACAAATTTATCAAGTTCCTTTAACAAAGAGTGGCCCCTGCTCATATTTCAAAGAATTTATATTTCAGGCAATATTGCAAGAACTCACATGGGGTGGGGGTGGGGGGAGACAAAAAAAAAACCTGTTTTACAAAAGGAAAACTGGTGAAGAAACGCCAATTATTTGTGGAAGGTGGTAAAGCTGTGCTTGGACCTCCTATCTTTTTTTTTTTTTTTTTTTTTTTTATGATAGGCACACAGAGAGAGAGAGGCAGAGACACAGGCAGAGGGAGAAGCAGGCTCCATGCACCGGGAGCCCGATGTGGGATTCGATCCCGGGTCTCCAGGATCGCGCCCTGGGCCAAAGGCAGGCGCCAAACCGCTGCGCCACCCAGGGATCCCTGGACCTCCTATCTTGAGCTGTATCTGCTATTTACTGTCTAAAACCCCCTGAGAACATGGAGTAGTAAAGCTGCAGGTCTGGCAACAGGCCTCATTCTAAAGTCCTAGTTCTGTGTATGGGAAGCTACTCATGTCCACGTTCCTTAAAACCAGAGGGGGTGAGTCAAAGCTGGGATGAGGGCCCAAACCCTCATCTGTCCTTGACTCTGCTGCGGAGGGGCTCTTCTGCAGGAGGAGGGGGGTCGACAAAGCCAGCTGTGGGGACAAGGGAGCTTGCTTCTAGTGAAGGTGAGCAGGACATCTGTGGAACAGGGAAAAATTTATCTTTAGCAAGAGGTTAATATCTTGACTACCTAATTAAAGTATATCTTGACTACCAGGTTAAAAACCTCACTGCTGATTTTATCCCTTTACATAGTTAAAGGAGTTAATTCACAGAAAGCTTGGAACACGGTGCTCAACAAATGCTGGCACTGAACCACGCCAATGACACCTTAGTGTCCCCAGCTCTGGGCAGGCCCTTACTGGAGGTGGGTATTGGTACTCCTGGGTGCTTGCTGGGTTGATCTCTGCCAGTGTCTGGACACCCGCATCTCTTGCGTTAACCAGTCTCAGAAAGAGCTCAGCCTGACCTACCTGGAGAGAGGAAATGGTACTGCATCCATCTGTACCTGGAGGAGCACCTGGCCCCTGTCCTCCACACTCACCTGGGGAATTCCATTCAGCTGTCCAAGGCTAAGGCTGGGGTCCAGAGGGAGGGCCCGAAGTGGAAGACGCCAACGTCCACTCAGCACCCTTTGATCCCAGTCAAAGAGCACCAGGGAGGCCCAAGCCTTTGGCTGTGGTTCCCCAGCCCCTGCCAGCCCCTGCCAGGCCTGTAGCTCACAGACCAGGGATACTGATGGTGAAGGTGGCAGTCTAGAAACAACCAAAACGAGGTGTCAGAAGCCAGAACTGTTCTTTCCTTGGGCAGCTCTCTGAGCCAGCAGCCCTGTATACAGATGAGAAAACTCAGCAGGATGAGGGAAGAGCCTCATTTAAAAAGCACCGGAGTCGGTCTCCACGTCCTGACCTGGGTACAGGCTGCCTGCTGGCAAGGATGGCACAGTTGCCCACGGGCCCCGGAGCTGGAGGTGGGGGCAAGCAAAGGGCTGGAGGCAATGCTGTGGCCCTTCCTGTATCCTGTCCATCGCGGGTCAAGCCAGTTACCAGTTGCACCCAAATCCAAGAAGCCTCAAGGCCCCGAAGGAAGTCATAGAAAATGACCAGGCCAGCCCTGAAGAACACAGGTCTCAGCTGGCACCTATAAGCCCCATCACCCCCCCCCCCAACTCTCAACCCTGACCCCCCCCCCCCCAACCCTAGCTCTTCCTAGTAGGTCTCCAGTTCAGAGTATCAGAAGAGGGAGCAGGCCTCACCCAGGGTCGTAGGGTGCAGGGCCCAGAACGTCAGGAGCGGGCAGGAGGAAGTGCGGATCCAGGCCTAGGTTCCTGGTCATGGTTCCCAGGGCCCGCAGCTGTGAGTGGGGGAAGCGCTGACTCCGGCGCGGCCCCAGGCGCCCCGGCTTCCCAACTACCCAAACCAGCTGCCCGGGCCCCACGCCCTGGGCCCTCACGGCCTTTTCGGCGCCACTCAGTAGGACGCCTGCCGAAGGTGGACGCGGCGGCAGCGGAGGAGCCACCGGCGGAGGGAGGCGTGGGGGATCTTCCCTCCTCAGGCACGGGCTGGGATCCACCACGGGACGAGGCTCCCTGGGCCCTGGGAGCAGAGTTAAGGGTAGGGCAGCCGTGCGCGGGCCGCGGCAAGTACCAGGGCTGAGAGGCCCTCACCCTGACGGCCGGCGATGGCGAGGACAGGAACGTGCAGCCACAGCGCGCCCAGTCCCCACGCGTGATCCCTCTAACCCCTTCCTCTGAGCTCGGCCTGCTGGGAGAGCGAGACGGCGCGGGGCAAGGGCGCTCGCTGACCCCAGGACGCAGGGCCTGCGCCCCTCTGCATCCGCAAGGCCAGGATTTCTGCCTCCAGGCGCCGGTTTTCAGCTTCCACTGCCAGAAGCTCCTCCAGGGCGGCACCTGTCCGTCTTCCTGCGATGAAAAAGTCTGTCACCTCTGACCCCTGGTGACCAGCTGGTGCGATCGGATCCGAGCAGCTCTCTCCAGCTCCAAAGCCTCTGGACAGGGCTGGACTCACTCCAACTAGCCGTTGCCACAGAGCCACCCACGGTTTCCACCTTCGGGTGGTTCCCACACCAAAGCCGCCTCCCGCCCGCCCGCCCTTTCTCCTCCCAGAATTAAGGCCGCGGCTTCCGAGAGGCCCTCCCGCTGGCTCCACCTGTTCACCTCTGCGGGGCTGCAGCCGCCGCAGATCCAGTGCTGATGCCTCCACTTGCAGTTGGCACATGTGGCCCAGAACGTCGGGGTTCCGGCCCCCGCCTCGAACGTAGGCCTCACGCAGGGCCCTGGGGACGCAGTGGCGGACAGGACGCAGCAGGGATTTTCCAGGACTGAGCAGCGCTTCGCCCCAGCCGCCCCGGCCCCCGGTCCTTACCCGATCTCGGCAGCCAGAGTCGCCGGGGTGGCCTGCAGCACCGGGCAACACAGCTCCGCCTCTCGCGAGGCGTGGGGCCGGGTCCTGGGGCCGGGGGGGCGGGGCGCGGACCCGACGTTGCGGCTCCCGACGCCCGACGCCCGACGCGGGGCCCCCGGAAGCCCCGCCCCCTCCCGGGGGGCACGTGCAGCCCTCCCGCTGCGAGGGGCCCTCCGCCTCGCGCGCCTTGCCCCGCCCCGGCCCCAGCTCGGCCCCGCCCGGCCCCGCCCCCCGGCCGAAGCCCCCGCGCGAGCTCTCACCCGGGCTCGGGCTGCAGCAGCCGAACCTGCGCCCCCAGCGCGTCCAGAGCTCCGCGCGATCGCCTGGCTTCCGCCCGGAGTTCTCGAAGCTCCCGCTCCAGGCCTCGGAGGCGTGCTATTCCGGCCCGGGTCTGGGCCAAACCTTGGAGGCGTTGGCTTAGTTCTGAGGCGTTAAGGGACCGAGTCGCAAAGGGTCCGACAAACTCGAAGCCGAGGGCGGGGGCTCCCCTCCCCTCACCCTCGCGGCGTCGCTCCAGAGCCCGACTCTGCGACTCAGTCTCCGCCACCCGCTTTGCGTGAGTCCCTTGCAGCGCCCGAAGCCGCTCCCCAGGGCTTCCAGCAGCTTCGGCGGTGGGGCCGGGCGCAGGCGCCTCCCTCCGGGGCCCTTCTAGTCCCCTGGGGACCTCTGTTATCCAGGGCAGCATGTCCTGAAGGTACAGCCACAGCCGCTGCACCTGGACGTAACGGGAACCCGCGATCTGTGTTGGGGTAACCTGCCCCAAGATGGCAGGGGCCTGGGGGAGGAGGCTTCCTTTCAAGCCAGTGGGGAAAGCGGGGAGTACCTCCTCGGTTAGCTGCTTTAGAGCCAATTCGCTGGCCTCCTGGTCTGGGAGGCCCTGGTGTTCTTGTGACACAACCTGGCGACAGGGCGTGGGATGAATCCGAGGCTCCGAGTTGCTTCAATACCCACCTGTGCCACCACGGACGCGGCCCTTTGGGGGGGGGGATGACCCGGGGTCACCTCGCGGGTCAGACGGCCAATGCAGAAGCGCTGAGTGTGGGTGGCCAGCAGTGGCCAGGAGCGGAAGACCATGTCACAGGACCCGCAGGACAGGAGCCCTGGCTCCTCAGGGGACGCGGCCATGGGACGGGACCCTTCGCTCCGCCAGCCGGGACCTGCGGTAGGGAGGACAGAGCAGGGCCAAGGGGGAGGACGAAACTAAGCTAGAGGCTGAGGCAAGGCCAGGTTGTGTATGTTTGGGGAGGAGACTCCGCTCCCCGGGCAGCAACTACAGGTCTGGGCAGGTCTGGAACATGGGTGGGGAAAGGCTGGTCACCCTGGAAGGAGCCCCCGCTTGAAGAAGCGTCACCAAGTGGGCTGCACGCCATTCCATGAGCACGGTTGAGGCCCTTCAGAGGTAACCCCTTGGGTTTCCTGCCCTGGCAGCTGCCCCAGGCCAGCTCATTGTCACACACTCCAGTCTCCACCAGGGACGAATCTTGTCCTTGTTTCATCCAAGGACATCCCAAGTAGATGTCGCCCAGGTTAGTGTCACTCCCCATGCTGGGGAACACCTGGGGAAAGAAGCCATCTGCCTTTGTGGGTTTTGGGCCAGGAAACCTGTCCCTCCCCTAAGCCGAAGCTCGCCCGCAACAACGGCTTTTGTGGCACCAAATCGAGCAGTTTTTCCCTAATGTGCGTTCCCAGATTCCTGTTTTCTTGAGTAGTTCTGTCTCTCGAGGGAAGAGAATTCGCAGCCCAAGGGATGAAACTTCTAGGAGGACGTAACGAAGCAGATGAGGGAATCCGATGTAGAAGGGTAGGTATTCCTTCACCGGAGGCTGGCCCGGGGCCCAGCAGGCCTCCTGTGCTGACCCAGCTCGGCCACTTCCCCATATGTACTCGGCCACCAGTGGCAGGAACTCCAGCAGGGACTCCGTTTCTCGGCTCCCTTTCCTAAACAAGCAGGGACGGACTTGCAGTAGCGTCCCCCGCACCAGGTAAGGCCGAGGTGTGACCAGCAACAGGTTACAAGCGTTTCAGAGCATGTGATCTTAGCCAGCTTAATTTCAAGCAAGCAAAAGGGCAGATGCTAAACAGCTGAGCCACCCAGGCGTCCCAAATTTCCAGTTGAATGCTTTTACAACGTAATTCATTTTACAGTATTTCACGGATTCTATGATGCACTTTTTTCTCCTCACATTTTAACACTGAAATCAGGACAATGGAGTATTGTAATTGGCAAGGTTTTTTTTTTTTTTTTTAAGATAAGAGAATGAGTGGGGGTAGGGGCGGAGGGTGGGTGGGGGAGAGAGAAGCAACTCCTTGCTGAGCAATGAGCTGGACTCAGGGCTTCATCCCACAACCCTGAGATCATGACCTAAGCCGGAATCAAGACACGAAAGCTTAACAGACTAAGCCACCCTGGCGTCCTACAACTTAAGAAAAGTTGTTCTTGTTTTAGAGGAAGTCTAAACATTGTCTGAAATTGTCATTATCTAACAGTCTAAATTTTTAAAGATTTTACTTATTAGAGCAAACACAAGCAGGGGGAGTGGCAGAGGGAGAAGTGGGCTCCCCACTGAGCAGGGAGCAGGATGTGGGGCTTGATCCTGGGATCATGACCTGAGCCAAAGGCAGACACTCAACTTACTGAGCCACCCAGGTGCCCCTGTCTAAATGTTTTAAGACATTTTTTTTAAAAAAACATAATGTCTTAAAAGATTTATTCAATGAAATATGATACAGTTCTTACTGCTCTCATCTCAACCACCATTGCTACATAAACTGCTGACAACACTGGGAGAGACCCTGTACAGGTGGCAGATCAGGTCTCTGCCTTCTTAGCCTTTAGAATCTAGCAAATGTCCTGCGGCTCTTTCTGCCCCTAACCTCTATCCCTTCTGGAGACACTCCCAGTTGGTGATCTTTCTAACATGCAATTAGGGCTGTTACTGCTGGCTGTCTCCCATGAAAGTACGATCTCGGACCCCTATCTCCACTGGGGACCGTGCAGAGATGGCCAAAGAGTGCCAGTGTCAGGAAATGCTTACTGTAACTTCTTGTCCAACAGGTTTTGGCCTAACGTTTCAGTTTTAATATAACTGTTTATTCTCTTCCCTCCTGGGCCGGGCATTCCCTGCATCCCCAGAGCTTTGCAAAATGCCAGGGCTGTAAAGAGATTGCTGGGAAGTGAACCTTGCATGGAAACTGTGCCTCCTCCACTGGTCACCCAGACAGCACAGGCTTTCCCATGTTTTTATTTAGCAGGAGAATTGAGATACAGGCCTTCCTTAAAATAGGCACAGTGATACATACCCAGGCAAGTGAAAATCAGGTTCAGGAAGGAAACTTGGGTTTCTGATTTTATTACTGATAATTTATTGCACAAGTTTTTCTGCATCAAAAAAGTATCTGCTAAAAGGAGAAACAGCTGTGTCTGAATTCAGACTTCCTTCAGACTTCTGGAAGTATTTCCCCCAAAGAATCCACTCATCTAATTTTAAAGGAAATATACTACTTACACAAGACAATCCAAACTGATGCAAAATATTTATTCCAAGTTAGTTATTTTATGCAGTAGTTTTTCCCCTCAACAGACTTGTGATAACCACATCTTTTAAATCTGTAAATAATGTTATCAAAATAATCTTAATCTTTGAAATCTCACAAAAATTTATATTTTACAATCCACCCTGAATATCAAGGCTGCAAGAATAACACAACATTTCCTATATCCAAATATTTTACAGCTGTACCCAAGAAGGAAAAGAAAGAAAGAAAGAAAGAAAAAAAGAAAGAGAGGAAGAAAGAAAGAAAGAAAAAGAAAAAACAAACCATGTATGCTTGGTTAAGGGCTAACGTTACCCGAGCAGCCAAAAATAAAATAAAATATCCAAATTATTAGCATTAATTTAATACAATTATAACTTCAATAGTCACTTTGTCATTGACAATGATTGCTTGAGCACAGGGGTGAGTGCCCCAAGGGCTGGTAGTAGAAGCTGTCGCTGCAGACCGGTGTCTCCTCCTCTCTGCACAGCCAGCTCCCACCTGTGCATCGCCCCATATATACTGTGTCTCTGTGTGTGTGTATTTAAAAATTCTTTCCCATCACACAAACTTCTCTCTATTAAGCAGATAACCGGGAAGAACATCAACAACAAAAGCTAAACAAGCCAACTGCTCTCTCTTTGGGATATGATTATTTCCCTTGTGCATGAAGTATTCAACAACATAAGAAAAGGAAAAGAACGATTTCTTTTGTATAACTCCCTAAACACACAAGCTGAGTTCACTGGGTCAGATTTGTGAGCCTTTATATGCCTACTTCCAGGCATCGTCATCAGATGTTTCGCTGCTACTGGTTTCCGTGTCTGAGTCCTCAAACTCTGCTTTACAAGTGCTTCTCCAAGCGGAGAACAGGCTGGAACCGCGGCTCTGCAAAAAGCCGTTCTTCCCAAAGCCATTTCTTCTCAGCTACAGTTAGCACAGGAAAAAGAGAAAACTGTCAAAAACTACAGTGGCAGCGGGCCCTGGAAAAGGCCAGTACTCAAAATTCTAGACAGAATATAGAGGCGGCCCCTCTTAAAAAAAAAAAAAAAAAGATTTATTTATTCATGAGAGACACAGAGACACAGGCAGAGGGAGAAGCAGGCTCCATGCAGGGAGCCTGACGTGGGACTTGATCCCGGGTCTCCGGGATCACGCCCTGGGCCAAAGGCAGACCGCCCAACCGCTGAGCCACCCAGGTGTCCCAAGAGGGGGCCCTTCTAAGAGATTCAAGATTTCTTATAGCTGTGCTTTTCAAACTTTATTTTTTATTTTTAATTATTATTTATTTATTTATTCATGAGAGAGAGAGAAAGAGGCAGAGGGAGAAGCAGGCTCCATGTAGGGAGGCTGATGTGGGACTCGATCCCGGGTCTCCAGGATCATACCCTGCACTGAAGGCAGGCGCCAAATCGCTGAGCCACCCAGGCTGCCTGCTTTTCAAACTTTAATGTGCAAATCAATCACCTATGGATCTTTTTTTAAAATGCAGATTCTGGGACGCCTGGGTGGCTCAGCAGTTGAGTGTCTGCCTTCTGCTCACGCTGTGATCCTGGAGTCCCAGGATCAAGTCCTGCATCGGGCTCCCTGCATGGAGCCTGCTTCTCCCTCTGCCTGTGTCTCTGCCTCTCTCTGTGTGTCTCTCATGGATAAATAAAATCTTAAAAAGAAAATGCAGATTCTGACTCAGTAGGTAGGGTTTCAGATGATGACAAGGATCAAGGGTGTAGTTCTGAGTAGCGAAGTCTTTATGTCAACCATAATTTCTCTTTATAGGACTTAATACCATTGTTATTTGTCCTTTAAATATAAATACCATAAATATAAATAGCACCAGAATGTAAAATCCAAGAGGTCTGCAGACTCCATTTATCTTGTTCACTGCTATATACTCTAGGACCTGGCAGTGTCTCACCCACAAAAAGAATCCAACTATTTGTTGAATAAATTCAAATAGGCTGTTTCTTGGCTCCAGAGAAAGTATCAGAGGCAAACCTCAGGGCCGGAGGCAGGGGAGGACGAGTCTGCTTCCCTAGAGACCCAGGTCAGCCCCTAACTCTGGAACACAGCCTTGTGGCTCTGATAAGGGGGTAGAGCTGCCAGGATGAAAGAACATACTAGTTTCTGAGATCTGCTAGCCTGACCTAGTTCTTTTGTCCACTATGGGAGATCCCTACTGCCTAGGCAGTGATATGCTCCTCTGTATTTCTTCTATGGCAACTTAATTTACATTTTCTTTTCCGAGCTCCTTCTCTCACACTAAACTGGGGCCAAGTGCAAGGACTGTCCTGGTTCCTTTCTTTCCTCATCCTTAACAGGTCTCCAGGAAAGGTTTAGGACATACCTGCTCTGTTTTCATGTGGAACTCTCTGAGCTCATCTTCTGTGAGGGGGAGGCAATTCTCATCATTTTCGGGATATTCCTGCCATCCCATTGCTTTCAATAACCTGGTAGAGGGAGGTCAGGCAAAGAAAATATGACACCTTTCAGCACAAGTGGGAAGCCCACAACTTTCCAGAGAAAATTAACTCACCCAGGGGCAATGGTAGTCCCTTAAATTTTTTTCTCCCCAGTAGGATAAGTTTTTTTTTTTTCAAAAAAATTAATTAATTAATTAATTAATTAATTAATTAGAGAGAAAAGAGTGTAAAAGAGAAAAGTATATGAGCACGGGGAGGGGGGGCAGGGAGGGAAGGGAGAGAATCCTCAAGCTTTCTGCTAAGTGAGCCTGATGCAGGGCTCAACTCTAGGACCCCCAGATCATGACCTGAACCAAAATCAAGAGTTGGCCATCCAACTGACAGCCACCCAGGTGCCTCTCCCCAGTGGGATAAGCTTTAATTATGGCTACTTAGTTGTTTGAATTAAACGAGGGATCTCGACAGTTGCTCTTTCCAGAGCATAAGAGCTATAGACAGGAGATAGCAGCAGCAGCAGAAAATAAGACTGCATAGGAGCCAAAGTGTAAGGGCCCTCTCTGACAGACAGAACAAAGAAATAAATCTCACTTTTGTCTTTTGTAAGCAAATTAGCACATCTCCACATGTAGCTAAGTTCTCTCAATTTCATGGCAATGTGGTCTCCTTCATACTCTTGTGATCTTGCTGACTCCTAAAGTTCTTCGGGATAGGAACTTCCTTTCAGGAAGGTACTGCCACACATGGCAGGCCCCCCATCTGCTATCCAGGTGCTCAAACCATTGGTGGCTCTGTGTTTAAGACCCTCATTTAAAGAATAAGATCCATCCATGGGGATCTTATACCTCCCAAGGCCCTTTAAAGGGGTCTTATAATGGATCACTTGGGCTAGGAGGGTCCAAGGGCCAGCACAGCAGTCCTAGAAAACAAGTTCCCCTCTCCAAATGGAGTTATAAACAGAGTCTGAAACTAAACTACAT